GGCTCACCAACACCAAGTGGCCGGGGACCACATGGATAGCAGGCTGTCGGGATCTTGTGGACACTGGCTCTTTATGGTTGAGGTTGGGCTGGGTTTTTGTTGTAAATGGCAAGATTTCACTCTTTTTATAGCTGAGTAATAGCCCATTGTACATACCACCACATCTTCTTTACCCGACTGTCTACAGAACTGCCACGTGCTAGCTTTTTGGATAATGCAGAAGCAAACATCTTCCTGTGATGGGTCCTGTCCTCCCACCTTCCACATCAGTGGGGTCTCACCTAAATGGGTGTGACTGTTTAAGGGAAGGAGTTCTGGCCAGAAACTCAGCCTGGGTTTAAGTACCTGCTTCACCGGGCAGCCGAGGAGCCCATGTGGCCTCGCACACATGGCCTGGGTGGGGCAGCCGCAGCTGGAGGAGGACCGGAGTTCACCTATGCAAAAGGATGTTCTTGCTGGAAATAGAAAGATGTTTCCCTGGGGCCGTGGTGGACCAGATGGAAGAGCCATTCACTGTGACAGCTCTGTCTTTTAGGAACACGTGTTGGCTCTTGTTTGGGATTTCCTTCTTTAGTCCCTGTTAATTTATGACACATAACCGTTAGTTGGATTTAAACGTAGGGGAAGACAGCCTCCCACAAACAAAGGCATGTCATTCTTATCAGGGGACTAATGGTATTTGGAAAACAAGGAAGGTCAAAGGAAAATATTCCGAGTGTCAGGATGGAGCTCTGGCCTGGGGGCCAGGTGCATTTCGAGGCATTTGAGATTTCACTTCTGCAGCCTGAGCTGTCTGCACTCTGTCTGCTTCCCCAACTCTGAGAAGCTCACCGTGTGTGCTCTGGTCCAGCCTACCAATTTTAAGGCTCCGTCCTAGATAGACCAGCTTTGGCGTGCCTTGCCTTCTGCCCCCACATCCCGTAGTCCAGCTGTCCCTCCGGATGCAGGCCCCCGCCTCGCCCCATCCTCCTTGAGCTAAAATCTATGGCCTGAGAACCACAGGCAGGCTGATGCCACAAACACGCTGCAAGCCAGATGTTCCCTTCTCCATGGCAAAGAGGCGCCCAAGTTCACAAGCATCTGGGAAGTGCCTTCCTTTAAGGAAGACATCTGCATGGATATGGTAGCCCGCGTAATGCGATGTGACAGTTGCTATGTCAACTCGTGTGTTCTCCCCTCCCCTTAGATTATTGACAGGCTTGGTCGATGTTGCATGAAGCCCTGCAGGGCCTTGGAATGTGTTTACGCACTGTCCTTGGCCAGGACTCAGCAGTTTTTTTCCTACATGTACTTTGCTTTTGCGAAGATAGCTTGTCACTTTGGTTTAACTGTACTGGCTTTTGGGGTGGGGGACTACATATTTCTTAGATTTGTAATGGGACAGTGGTGGCTTGAACTCCAGAGGAGTGCTGGTGGGGGGAGAGCTGGGGAGGCAGCCTGGGGACTTGAAGCCCCTTCTGTTGTGATTGAGGAAGTTTTGATCACTAACTGCAAGGAACAACTTGCATTTAGTGTGGGGAGGGGAGATGTGTGTGTGTGTGAACTCCTCCCTCCTTGGTTCCTGTGATAGTATCGGGCACAGACCTTCTCCGTCTCTGCTGGGTTCTGTGCTGTGTATCCAGCTGCCTGCTGGCCACCTGAACCTGCATCTCCAATAGGCATTTCAGAATGGACACCCTCCCGTCTTCCTCATCCTCACTTGCTCCTGTGGGAGGCACCTGCACCGCTCCACATGAGAGCTGCTGTGCCCTGCTGGCCTCTCACTTCTGCCTCAGGACCAGTCTGGCTCCTGGGTGCTTTTTTTGCCCTGGCCTCTCCCCATTCCACCAGTGTGATCCTTCTCAAATAACTTACAAAAATTTTTTTTTTTAATTTCAAAAGGTCAAATTCCTCCCACCCGGGCATAACCCAGCTGTTGTCTTTCTAAAACTCCACTGCACTCTGATCATGTCTCTCATTGCCTGGGTGATTCCAGAGACTTACGAAGCCAGCACCTCCTCCTGGTACCCAGGACCCCAGCACCAGAGCCGATCTGGCTCAGGCCCAGTCTTGATACTCTGTCCCAGCACTCCTGGCCTAAATGGTAGTGTTCCCCATATTCATATGTTGAAACCTAACCCCCAGTGTGATGGTGTTAGGAGATGGGGCTCCCAGGTCAATTCCCTCTCCTTCCACGCCCTGCCTCGTATTAGAGCCACTTGTCTAGGTCCCTTCCTGTTCAGGCTGCCAGTTCCCAGGGGCAAGGATGGGGGCTGGGGCAGTGCCATTCATGCATTCAGGAACTGAGTTCAGCTGAGCATGCTGAGCCTCCATGAAGCCAGGTCCCTGGGAGTTAGCCTTAGGGACCTCGCTGTCTTGTCTTGTTTGGGAAACCTTAGAGTGTCACGGAATAAAACCCATTCCTGACATCTGCTCTGTGGCCCGCATCACCTGTCACTCGGGGGGGAAGAGGAAATTGAATTAGTCCGGCAAGGCTGACCTGACTAACAAGGGGTGCCCGATGGATTGTCGTCACCACTGCACACGCGGCCTTCTGCAGGTGCCCGGTGTCCCTGCTCAGGCCCCAGTGGGTGGAGAGTCAGGGGATACTGGTCAGATTGTATTTTTCTTTCAAAACCACGGCTGTGTGTTTTCCACTTTCTAACTCTCTGATCTGGCTGGCTTCAGACTGAGGAGTGATGCCCTGGGGTGGGTGCTGTGGTGCCTGTAGCCCCGGGGTCTGTCCTCACTGAGCTGGTGCAGCCTCTCAGAGGGCTTCGCTTCTGATCCTGCTTTCTGTTTCCTCTCGACTGGTGTCATGCTTGGCTGACCAAAAGCTGCCACTCTCCAGAGGGCCGATGCTGTTTTTCAAGAGCTGGTTTTGAGGACAGTTTATTTTAGGCCTGTTCGGTTTGATTGGACTGCACCGTCATTGTTATGTAGCAGCTTAAGATTTGTCTTGAAAAAAGCAGTTCAGTCTATTTGGTGACAACTTGTGTGACTAATGAATACTCTGCCCTGCACCCTGAAACGTACTGGGCATCTCGCAAACACCAAATCCTAACACGTTTCCTGTTTGAAGCCGTCCTAGTACATCAAACACCTGTATTACAGTAATACACTGATTTAGTTCATTGAACATCTTTTATGGATTCATCTTGTTAAGCAAGAAAATAATCCTTAGGGTTTTATAAACCTCCTGTATGTTCCAGTAGGTGCCATTTTAAACATGAATTTAGTTGAATTAATAAGGTAGATGTTAAGCATTTAATTGGCCCTTCTCTCCCAGCCAGCTCTGTCAGTTTGGGGACTATAGTTGGCGATGATATAATTCGCCAGTGACATGAAACTGACATGTAGATTAAATGCTGCTGGTCTTTGGGGAGGAGGGGCTGGCTGCGCAGAGTTAATGTCTAATACCTGGCTAATGCCACCGTACCCTGGCTCTCACAGGGGAAGAAGGTGGTTGCAGCTTAACCCGATTGGCCTACAAAATTCACTTTAAAGTCTTGAGCTTAATATTAAATGTTCAAGACTTTTGTTTTCTACTCCATGTTACCATTTTCCTCCCAGTCTTCAGCTGACAGGGTTTGAGTGGGCAGCTGTGTATTTTCATTTTGTGGCTTCTGGACCCCTTGGGCTCAGACACCTGGCTTGAGAAGCAGGTATAAAAATGGCAATAAAAGAGGCATAAAGAAGATACCAGAGGATAAATAAACTGTGGTATATCCCTTCGATGGAATAGTATTTAGTGCTAAAAACGAATTTTGAGAAATTATGCCATGAGTCTGGGCTGTTCAGTTTGATTGGACTGCACCTTCGTTGTTATGTAGCAGCTCAAGATTCATTTTGAAAAAAGCAGTTCAGCCTCTTTGGTGACAACTTGTGAGACGAATGAATACCCTGCCCTGCACCCTGAAATGCATGCAATTTGGGGCGTGGCTCAGTTGGTTGAGCCTCATCCTGGACACTGAAAGGTTGCTGGTTTGATTCCTGGTCAGGGCAATGCCCAGGTTTTGGGCTCAGTCCCTGGTAGGGGGTGTACAGGAGGCAGCCAATCAATGTTACACTTTCACATGGATGTTTCTCTCTCCCCCTCTCCCTTCCACTCTCTCTAAAAAATCAACAAAAATATAAAATAAAAAAAATTAAGAGATGAAAAGACATAGAGGAACCGTAAATGCCCATCACTGAGGTAAAGAAGCCCATCTGAAAAAGCTATATAGTGTATGCTCCCAACTATGTAACATTCTGGAAAAGGCAAAACTGTGGTTGCCAGGGGTTGTAGGAAGGGAGGGAATGAGTAGCTGGAGCACAGGAGACTTTTAGGGCAGTGAAAATATTCTGTATGATACTTTAACTGTAGATACATGTCCTTATACATTAGTGCAAACTCATGCAATGTACAACCCCAAGAGTGAATCCTAATGTGAGTTATGGACTTTGGGTGATTATGTGTCAACGTAGCTCCATCAATTATAAGAAACTTCCACTTTTGTGGGGGATGCTCAGATGGCTCAGTTGCTGCCCTTAGATAACTTTGGGTTTGATTAAATTTGGGGAGTTCTGAGCTGTGGCACATAATTGGGCTTTGAAACAATGTAATTGTTGCCCATTGAATTTGTCATTATTAGCCCTTTGCCCAGCAGCATTAGTATGCATCGTGTTGTGGGGTCAACAATGGGCCATCTACGGACACATCTGTGACGTCCCCTTCAAGTGAGCATGATCATTCTGTGCCCTGGTGTGTGCTCTCCGAAAACCTCCGCTCTAGAAAGAGCACCTGCTTCACCCACGTGTAACTTTTCCTTTGCATGGTGGTGACAGTGGCTGTGTGCTGCTCAAACTGCCCCTGGTGACCAGCTGGCTGTGTGCATATCCTAATTTCCACTTGGCTTTCTCTCTAGTTGTGGCTGTTTACATAAAGGAGTCCTGGTGGGCCACCGAAGACGTGCTGAGGACCTCTGACCCTGCAAGAGAAGGTCTAATGAAGGTGAGGTGAGGTCATTTTGAGTGGACATTGCAGAAAGTTTTAACAGTCATTGTACTGTTACCACGTGAATGATTTAGAGCAGTCTACCCCGGGGATTTGTTTGCTAGGACTGCTGTGACGATGTACCACAGACTGGGGCCTAAACAGCAGAAATATATCATCTCACAGTCCTGAGGCTGCGAGTCTGAGCTCAGGGAGTCAGCAGGTGGAGGTGAGGGTGAATCCAGCAAAGTAATGAGGGCGTGAGATTCCGCAAATGAGCGTGATGTCCCAGCAGGGCTGCCAGATGGGCCCACTTGGGTGGCTGAACCAGCCCCTTGTCATGGGAGGGCCATGTGGTACTTAGTGGCTTGTGTTCTGACTGCTAGGAAGAGTCTGATCTGCTCTTGAAATAATTTACTTTTTCAGAATGAGAGTGGTCACTTCCCTCACGTCATTTCTTCTAAATTTAGATGAGGAAAACCCTACGTTTTCTGAAAATGGGACCCAGGCTGTGAACACTGAGACACTTGGGTGTTCTTTCTTCCCACTTACCCATGTCATAAGACAGCTCCTGCCCCAGCTGTCTATGGGGACAGTCCCCTGTCCTGTTATAGAGCTGGGGGGGGGGGGGGG